CATTATATATTTCTTCTTGTTCTACTAATGTGTAATATTCCAATCTATTTTAAATTGATTTTATTTTGAATATCTAGAAATAAAAAATATAAATTATACTGTACGTAAAAAAATTTATAAACAAAAGAAGTGAATATAAACATTAGATATTGAAATGCGGTACTGATGTCTGATAACAAAAAAATATGAGACTAAGAGTAACAATAATACTCCAACTCTCTTCCCCCACCCAACTGATATACAAGTAAAAAAAAATGATGGATCAACCACATATTTTACGGAGTGTATGGATTGGCCGGGCTGTTTGTAAATGGTAATGGACATATGGCGGGCCTATTTCTTTGAAATAAGCCCAACACTGAATTGAAGACTTAGGCCTCCTTGTTGCATTAGCGTCCATTATAAATACAAAAATGAAAACAATTTTTTCAAACTACGTGTAAGATGGTATTTCTTTTTAAATGATTTATTTTCAAATTAGTACATGTTGGTGATTTTAATGTTATCAACTATTTTTGTGTAATTAAATTTACTTAGATAAGACAAGAATTTGAATAAGAGGAATTTCCGTAAATAGCATTAAAAGATAATGACTTTCCCCAAATAGCACTACATGTGTTTTTTTCCCAATGTTGCACTTTTAGTCATTATCCATTAGTCATTATTCAAGTAAATGTTTGCATCAGAGGTCATTATGCACATTATTAAGTGTTATTTAGGGAACAAAACAGTTTAAGTGCTACTTAGAGAAATGACTTAGGTTTTAATGCTATTTAGTGTAAATATTTCTTTGGATAAATGTTGTCTAAAAGTAAGGAGGAACGGAGTGTGCACTCGTAAAACAATATTATAAATTTGTTGTGGTGTCCGGGGGCAGTAGCCCCGGTAGCTGGGTCTTAAGGGCGGCAGCCCCAGGCGGGGTCCAAGATGCAGAGTCCCTGGCTGAAGAGATGATAAATTTTATATTTTGGACATCATTGATTTAAAAATTGATTCTTTTTTTTGTTTTGATTTAAAAAGTGATTCTTTTCTTTCGTAATATTAAAAATAAAAAATATAAATTAGTAGATCCTTAATTGAAAAAACTAATTTTATCATAGGAATAAAATCTGTTTCGTTCCTAAAAAATACTCCCTCTGTCCCTTATAGATCTTCTCAATAGCCCTTTTTCTTTATCCACAATAGATCTTCTCATTTCATTTTTTAACAAGTAAAATATCACAACTACCCCCACTTACTTTATTTATTACACCTCACCCACCTCATTTAATACACTCCACCCATTTTTCATTAAGGGTATTATGGTAAACTTTCACCTTTTTTTTTCAACTCTCCTTAAAAATCACCAAAAGTCAAAATGAGAACATCTTAGGCGGACGGAGGGAGTACTTTTTAAGTAAATGCATTGTAAATGTACTGTTCTATTGACTCTATTATCAATTTACGATGTTTGAGTGGTGATTTCAATACAATTTGCAATAACAAAAATTGGTGGAGTTAAAAAAAATTTGACATACTAAAAAGTTACATCTAAAATTGTATAAAATAAAAGATAATATGACTATATTATTTTATCAAATAAGTAAACGAGTGTTCATGAAACGAGAGTTTTAATTAATCGGTGATCCACCATCGTTTTTGTACGAACATGGAAATGATTACCGCCTTAAAAAATGTTCATGAAAATTCCGGATTATTGATGATGAAGCTAAGAGCGATTAGAGTTTACCACGTTCCTGCTCATTCTCGAGGGCCGGAATCATTAGATATTGTTTTCCACGACTCAGAGGGCGATCGAATCCATGCTCAGATCAAAGATACTAATATACGCACATTCAAACAAGATTTGCAAGAAAATGTGGTTTACTTAATCATGAGGGTCAAGGTTATACGCAATTTCCAAGGCACAAAAACTACCAATCACCCTTGCATGCTCCAATTTTTGGGAAGGACCAAGATTCAAAAACTATCGGAAATTGGATTTCCTAATTTTCGATTCTACTTTAAGAGTTTTGAAGATGTACTCAAAACAAAGTTTGCTGACCAATTCTTTTTAGTTGATATAATCGGGAAAGTAGTTAGTCGAACTGCGCCCGAAACCCGTATGGTTAATAATGCCCCAGAGCAAATAATGGTAGTTACCTTGGAGGACCACAATGACGTTCGGTTGAATTGTACGTTATGGGGAAATCACGTCAATGTTTTCATTGATGGATTGAGTGCATCGGATTCTACCCTTCCAATTTTGGTGTTGCAAATGGTGAAACCTAAGTTGTACAATGGTATTAACTCTGAAGGTAGGCACGCCTATTATGTTGTTGAGAAATATTGACCATTCAATGGGTTTATGTAATGATACACGGTTGATAGTAACCCGGTTGGCTAACCACTCAATACAAGGAAAAATAGTATCAGGAAGCCACATGGGTGAAGAAGTTGTTATTCCAAGACTATATATCATTAACACCGTCCGATACAAGAAATTCTTTCAAGTTTCAAAGAAGATAATTCTCTGTGGTTACTTCGTATGCAATGACGATTAACAAGAGCCAAGGACAATCTCTGAAACATGTTGGACTACTGTTACGAAAACCTGTGTTTAGTCATGGACAGCTCTATGTTGCAGTTTCAAGAGTAACTAATCATAGTGGATTGAAGATTCTGATATGCAATAAAGATAATACTCCCACAAAGACTACAAATAATGTAGTCTATAAAGAAATCTTTCGAAATTTGTAAAACATTGATGTTCTGTACCTTAAAATAATATAATATCTATATTCTATTGCAAAAAAAAAATAATAAGTAACAAAATGAATAAAATTTGATTTTGTACATTAGAGAATACTACGTATTATAATATCATGTTTTTCCTTTTTTTAAGTAGGATGTCCATAATTGATTAATTTTTCCATACTCCCCTGTCTTGCTTGAATTTTAACGTACACTATTTATAGTGTCAAACTTTATATACTTTGTTTTCTTATATTTGTTGCTAATTTGATTATATAAAAATTTCACCTATAATTTTGTAGATTTTTGATATGGTTTCTTAATATATATGGAATAATTTTTATTTTTTTGCTCTACACCTACAAATCTACATTTAGATAAATTGAATTAAAAGCAAAGTTAATCAAGTATCGTAACACAGACCGGAAAAATTCAAACGGGGTGGTGGGAGTATTTGTTTTGGTTGTCCTTGTCAATTCATCGTTATCTCTAAGTGAATGGTTGAAAAAGGTATGAGTGTTTCTTTCATAAAAAGAATGAGTCACATTTACAAGGCTCCCTTAAGACTCCGAAAAAGTCTTTTTAGAAATATAAGAAAGTATGCTACTTACATGGTTACTCTGTGTTTTTATTTAAAAATTGTTTAACTATATAATTTTAAGATAGAGAAATGAGGTAACTAACTATTAGGTGATGTAAACCTTAGTTTGAGCACGGTTGGAGTAGATTAGAAAAAAGTCCCATGTCGCATATTAAATAGAGAGTCAAAATGGAGTGATGGGTGTGAGGTGTTCTAGCACTGCCCCTCATTGGAACGTAACCCATATGTGGGGTGGCAATAACTCAACTCTAAAACCACAAACGTAAAATTTCTTTTATCAACAACTGTTCATTTACCCCATCACGAGAAAAAAACAGATGAATTAAATGATTTGTATTCCAATTTGTAAACTGCAAGTATGTATTTTTATTTTGTGTCAGTGTAATGTTAAAATGATAATTCATTCAAACATAAAATATTAATACAAATATTAGGAATGAGATTTAAGTTTTAGTTCTATTTAATGCAAATATTTCATTTTTAAATGATTATCATTATTAAAGGAGAAGTGAGGGTGAGTAAGGAGTGTAGTGTAGGGTCATGCTACACTTACACCTCAAATTGTACCTCATTTGTACAGCGCAGATATATACAAACATTTTGATGGTTTACACCGACATAAGTGTTTGTGCGTTAACAAAAATTTACGCAGACACGAAGTGTTGGTGCATTAACAAAAATTAGTTTTACCCCAGCACAAAGTGTCGGTGCAAACTTGCAGGGTACAAAGTGGGGTATAAAAATTGAAGTACAAATAAATTTATCCAAGAGTGTATGGTGTCTGTATGGATGAATCTATGACCAATCACGCGCTTTTTCTTTAGATTCTGCCCTTATCCAATCAAATCCCTTCCCTTTATTTTTTTCTTCTACTCCCTTTTCTTACCTTTCAAATCCCCCATTTCTTCCCTCCCAACATCCCCAACGCAAAGAAACAGCCGTCCTCCTCCTCCTTCCTAAAAAAACCGGCCTGCACCACCGTGGCCGTTACCCTCGGGGTCTCGATCCTGGCCGCCGCCCCCACGGCGGTTGCTCCCCCCGCGCAATTGGCCGCCGCCTCCTTCGATCTCCTCGAGCGCTCCCGTTACCTTGCTACAGATTGAAAAATAAAATTTACATATCAAAAAATTACATGAAAAATTCTTTGAAATAAGTCAAAAATATTTTATTTTATCAAATAACCAATGAAAAAATAGAAATAAACAAAAGTTTTTGTTGAAAAAGTAAGTGTGACAAATATTTTGGGACGGAGGAAGTATTTGTACCCCAATTTGTATACCGTAGGTGTGCACTTTCATTTTGTGTTAGTGTAAAGTTAGGAAGATAATTTACACAAATACAAAATGTTAGTGTAAATTTTTGTTAACGAACCATCATAGTCTTGACAAAGTTTAAAAATAAAAGATTTAACAAACAAATCTAAGATATTTTTTAAATTCTTATAATTGAAGGAACGATTTAAACAATGGCCTGTGACTAAAGAGATGGTGCGTGTATGGATGATACACCCACCATTAGATATTTAGATAGATCACATCCGATTCTATCCAGATAAAAAATTAGGGGCCTTTCACCCTGATTTCACACCCCCCTGATTTCACCTTATCCAATCAAATCCCTCACCTTATCTTCTTCTTCTCCCTTTTCTTACCCTTTATATTCTCCGATCCCCCATTTCTTCTCTCCCTCCTCCTTCTTCCTAAAAAAACCCCGCCTGCACCACCCGATTCACTCGGGGTCTCGATCTTGTCCGCCGCCCCCACGGCGGTCACTCCCACCGCGCAATCGGCCGCCACCTCCTTCGATCTCCTCGAGCTCCATTTGTCCGCGCAAAACTTCCGGCAGGCCGACGGGGAGATGCGCCGCCTGCTCATCGCACTCGCTGGTGACGCCGCGCAGGAGCGCCAGATCTGCGCCGGATCGACTCCCTGTGGCGCAAATACAGCGACGTCCTTCCCTTCTCAGGTACGTACCATGTCTGTGATCTGTCTTCGTATATCTTTTTTCTTGGGTTTATTGTTTTGGGTTTGAAAAGAAAAGAGATTTCTTGGTTTGAAGATCCAATTGGGTTATTATTGCCGTTCTTGTTTAATTATAAGAATTACTCCATATAATTTGAGACAAATTTCTTACTCAGTAATAAACAATTAATTAACCAAATTTATATTTTTTTGTGAATAATTTGATTTTTTGAAATAATTTTTTGATCATTTTATGTTATCTGTATAAAAAATCTGCCACTAGTAACCTTCTAGCTCCGCCACTGGATTTGGGGTTCTGGGTTTCAACCACGGTGGATATTTATGACTCGGCTTTTCTTATTTTTTTTAACTCGTGTGTGTGTGTGTGTTTTTTGGGAAGCTATTGTGGTTTTATGTGGAATGATATGTAGTCTGTGTCATGTAAGGTCTTTTTTTGCTTGCATGTTTGCTTTTCTTTGATAATGGTTCCTGTTTTGGTCAGTCTAGATGAAACGCTGATTGTGCAGTTAATTTCATTTTTATAGCTACAGGGTTGTATACACTGTTTTAATTGGTTCATTTAATTTTAAATTTTGAATTTAGATACTCCGTATTTCTTTAAATTAAATTTTCTGTTTAGTTTTTTTTAAATAGATGCTCAACCTTATTCATCACATGAATAATATCAACATATGTATTAATTGATTCAATCTCATTTCAGATACAATTGATGAAGAAGATGATCTCCATGCATTACTGTGCACAAGCGTGCGGGTGGGACAGAGTGTGCAATTGTCTGTCCGCCGGCCTACTCCTGAAACGCAATTGTCCGGCATATATGACATGAAGTACTCTAGGCAAGTCACTCGGCAAGTCACTGGGCACGAAGTACTCGCACGTCTCCCGCGCTGCTCTTTCGATCTAGCTGCGGGAGACGTGGCAGATAGCTGCGTAGTTTGTTTGGAGCAAGTTTGAACTAGGGGAGGAGCATCGAGATTTCAACCGTGCTCCGACTTGTTCCATGCGCATTGTCTTTGGGCAAGACAATGCGCATGGAAGGAGTGGGAGCACGGTTGGAATATCGATAGCTCCTCACCCGGCTCAAACTGCTCCAAGCAAACTACGCAGCTATCTGTCACGTCTCCCGCAGCTGGATCGAAAGGGCGGCGCGGGAGACATGCGACCAACGAAACACTTTCCATTCTTTATTTTGGAGAAATAATAAATTCTGTATCACATAGTTCTCTCAAATGAATCGGTATCATTTAATGATATTGGTATTAGTCTTATCTTTGTCTTATTTTGTGTATGAACTTGGCCAACCTAATTATCCGATGTAATTAGGTATGTTCTAAAGATTTATTTTTGGAAGCGATGGTGTTCGTTTATATCAACTCAAGGAACAAATTCGTAATACTCATCAAGAGGGTTCTTAATTGTGGTACTCCGTAATATTTTAAGGAATGAAAAAGTAGTAAAAATAGGATTACTAACATGTTTTGATCCAACATTGACTTATTTCTAGAGAACAAACTAATTAACCTACTTTGTTCATAAAGACGTAAGCTAAACAATTACTCGGTTTAATAAGAATAAATTATTTAAGTAGATGAAATTACAACTTTAATTGTTCACCAATCGTATGAGACTTGACTCATTGACGAGCTTATTCCTTTTTATTTTAAATAATATCTTTCCTTGATTATTACGGAGTATTTGGCTAGCATGTTTTTGCTTGAAAATGTTTTTTTAATTTAAGAGTAATGTTAGAGTCACAAATAATCTTGACACAAATTTTACAAATCTACTATTTGTGCACTTTTCAAATTGAACAAAATAGTTTTAAGTAATTACTCCGTACAAAATAAAAATTTAAATACACAAATAGCAAGTTTGTATAGTTTGTATCCAAGTTGTTTGTGACTCCAACATTACTCATTCATTATAAGGTTAAATTTTATTCACTTTGTTAGTCTATTTTTAATGCTAATGTGATAAAATAATATAGAATTGTTACCTCTGCTATTTTTTTAGATCTTTTGATATAGTTTTTAAATATGTAATTTTTTACTTTTTAACTCCATACTATTTTTCATAGAAAATGATATTAAAATAACTTCAGTCAAACATCGTAACGCGCAATGGAAAGATTATTCCTAGATGGAAGTATTAAAATCAATTAATACGGAGATTACACGACCCTTGTGCTATTAAATCTCGAATGGAGTAATATTTAATTAAAATCGTATAATTATAAGAATAGTAATACTACCTCCGTCCCATTGTCTTTGTCCACATTTGACTTTTGGAACTGTTCATCTAAGCACTTTGACTCATCAAATTCTCTTAATGTGTAAGCCTAAAAATAGTCTTGTTTGATTCGCCTTAACATATAGATTATTAATATATAATTTGTATAATTTTTTAATATACAAATTACAAGATAAAATGGATTAAAGAAGTGCATTGGATGGTGTGCCAAAAGGTAAGTGGACAAACACAGTGGGACGGAGGGAGTATGAGTTTTTGTATAAAATAATAGTTGTCGTGGTGCTGGAATTTCTCTCCTAGTTTGAGTGGTATGAAGGTCACTCCCTAAAATTAATAAAAAATTTCACCCTGATTCAAATACAGAGAAGGAGGCATTGGCTCTTTGTATTTTGTTAGATTAAAAAATAAATGAACCAATATTAAATTATAATAGAGTTAATATTAAAAAAAATACAACATATTTGTATATTAGATTTTACAAATGGGCTGGATAACAAAGCAGAGACCATATGGTTAGGAGGCCCAACAGTCCATCATAAGCGAAGTTCAATTCTTTATTTTTCTACCGAAACAACTCCATCTGTTTCTTTTGTTTTTGTTTACCCCATACTACCTCAACTTTCATTGAAATTTTGAAGTAGTACGTAAACTTTAAATTCTTTCATAAAACTATCTCAACTTACACAATCCTTTCATTATAAATCTATTTACCCGTTTTCAAGTTAACTTCCGATTATTTGGACCAAATTAGATTTTTATACGGAGTATATTTTAAAATTTTTGATTTGACCCTATTTTTTTTTTCTCTCTCCCACTTCCTTCTTTTTCTTCCTTCTTTCACCTCCTTTCTTCTTCTTCTTCTTCTCAGGTATACACGCTACACCAACCCAGGCCGGTGACACCCGAGATCTGGGCAGATCCTCCCGCCGGAGATGAACTTTCCGATCCCATTTCCCAATGAGGTGATTTTAATATATTTATTTATTCCAATTCTTAATTATATTATACTCTGGTATCACTTGGTGCAGGATTCCCGTCAAGCTAAACAGGGGACTCCATTCGAATTTGGGCTTTTAGTCTTCATCTACGACACAGTTCTGGGTCGGTGTTATAAATTAAATGAGTGTGTGCATTTTGATCAAAAAATTGAAGATTTAGAATTAATTAATACCGAGTAATTAATAATTTAATTTATATGGATTGGGACATATTTTAGGGGTGATGTTGATGGTGATAGCACTATTGGTTCAAAAAAGGCATCGAGGTAAAGAAACAAAAAAAACACTCGAAGGAGCTTATAATTCGCTCACCTACGAAAATCTAAATTACAATAATTATTAAAAAGAGATGTTTAAAAATAATCTTGATAACGTTGGGGTCAGTGGCGGAGCTAGGAGGTCACAATTGGGGGGCCACACCTCGGGGGTACGGGGGCAGCGCCCGTGGTTTTTTTATATAAAAAACAACATAAAATGATTTAAAAAATTTATTTCAAAGAATCAAATTATTCACAAAAAATGTAACAATAAATGTTATTATTATGAATTATACAAAATGTTAATTCTTTTTCAAAATAACAATTTGGTTAATTAATTATTTATTACTAAGTAACAAATTTGTCCGAAATTATATGGAGTAATTTTTATAATAAAATAACAACAACAATAATAACCCAATTAGATTAGAGGTGTATTTACGTAGACCTTTATTAATAAAATAAAAATATTATTAATTGAACACAAAACAAAGTAATTGAATATTTAATAGACTTAATTATCTCTCAAAAAACACATGAATAAATATTTATTTCGACGAATAAAGCAAAAAAATATGGAGTACAAAGCATTTAAGAAACGGGTGAAAATGAGATTAGGATTGGAGAAAATGCTAAAAAGGAGCGGCCCATTTGTTTTAAAACCCTATTTACGTGCCTAGAGCCTGAAATTTAATTTTTTTGACAAAACGCCGCCGTTTAGTTTAGTTAAAAAAACGATTCAGTAAATCTTCTGTAGAACCATTTTGCAGCGAGAAAAAGAGCAGAGATGGAAACTAGGTCTAGGGAAAGTTCAAGCGCGCATCGGAGAGGCACCACGGCGCCGGTGACTAACGTGCGCCTGTAGATGACTCTTCACCGGACCTCCGCCGGGGGGGCACGTGCCCCGGCAGCCCCCCCCCCCCCCCCCCCCCCCCCCGNAAAAAAACGATTCAGTAAATCTTCTGTAGAACCATTTTGCAGCGAGAAAAAGAGCAGAGATGGAAACTAGGTCTAGGGAAAGTTCAAGCGCGCATCGGAGAGGCACCACGGCGCCGGTGACTAACGTGCGCCTGTAGATGACTCTTCACCGGACCTCCGCCGGGGGGGCACGTGCCCCGGCAGCCCCCCCCCCCCTCTCCTCCGCCCCCGGTTGGGGTGGCCCGACCTTCCTACGCGGACGGCCCAATGCCACTGGCCGAGCATGGGCTGCATGGGCTTCTTGGACCGCATGGGGGTTCTCCGTATCAAATGCGGAGTTCCTCCATCCCAAAAAAGTTCATGTTATTTATACATGTCTCATAAAATATTTTTATCTATGTCTAAAATATATAAAATTTACCACATTAAGCATTTATTGTGAATATTAGCTGCTTTAAAATTATTTTGATATTTGAGATGAGATAGAAATATTTTATGAAATGTGCAAAAATTGAAAGAAGACATCTTTTGATAATAGGGTTACACCGTATTTTTTCAACCCAAATTTCGTCCCTGAGGCCTGAACAAACTACGTAGTATATAAATCTCCGGCCAAAATTGAAGAGTCAAGAACACGATTTTGTCAAGAAATAGACTAAACGTCAAATCAATCCCATGACCACAACATGTACTCATAATTACATTTTCATTTATCGTTTTTGAAAAATGGGTAAAAGAATGCTTAATTAAATGTTCTTCTTTTTTATATTTAATGGACAATAAATATTATTATAATAAAAATTCTAAAATCTAAAGTTTATTATGGGAGAGATACTACTCCATCTGTCCCAACTTAAATCGCCTTTGTTAATTACGAGGTTTGACAAAAGTTATTTTTAATTTAATTTATTATAAACCAGTATGAAATTACAAAAATAAAATTTATATATTTAAAAGTAACATAAAAAATTATACAAAACAAGTCGTGACAAATGTACTCCCTCTATTCTTGAAAACATTTTCTCTTCTAATTTTTCGCGGACCCCATAGAATATTTTTACTCTACCTAAAATGTCTAAAATATCTCCAAAACAAATTCTACCCACAATAAACTATATAATGAGATGTAGTCTAGATATTTTAGGTGAAAGTAAAAATATTTTATTGAGTGCGCAAAAAACTAGAGCGAAAATAATTTCAAGAATGGAGTGAGTTTATTATTTTTATGATATACCAAATTATTTATTACTCGTATAAAAAGATCCGCATCTGCATGTTGTTTTCAAAATGAAAAGTTTATTATTAGTGAGAGAGTAAGTGAATTTTAATGACTAAAGCTAAAGTCAGAAATAACTTGGACATAAACTTCACAAAATTGCTATTTGTATATTTCAATTTTTATTTTTAAATTATTTAGAATCATTTTATTCACTTGAAAACGTGCATAAACATGGGCGGATCTACCTTAAGCCATATGGGGGCAACTGCCCCCCGTCAAAAAAAAAGTTTTTTTACTTTTTTTTTGTTTTATGTATGGCTGCCCCCAACAAAAAATAAAGAATGCCCCCAGTGACCACTAATTAACCCATTAAATAAAGTATTTATAAACTTTAGTGATATTAAATAATTTCGTACAACATAGATCATTTAGTATTACTCCCTCCGTCCCAATATATAGTGCATGTTCACTATTTACAAAGTCAAACTTTATTCACTTTCTTTTTCTATTTTCGTTAGCAATTTGATAAAATAAAGTAAGTTGTCACTACTAATTTTGTAGATCTTTTGATGTAGTATTTTGATATGTAATTTTTATTTTTTAACTCTATACCATTTGTCATATAAAATGATTTGAAAATAATACCAGTCAAACATCGTAAACTGAAATATGCGCTATAAATTGGGACGGAGGGAGTATAATTTTACTAATTTTAAAATATTTTGTTTTTCTTATTTTAAATTTGTTTGATATAAAACTAATTTTTTCATCATGATATAAAGTACATTTAAAAAAACGGGGGCTCTGCCCCCGAACCCC